ACAAATAAAAATTTACTCGATGGTTGTTGTGTTTACTTTCTTCTTTTATTTGCATATATTAAGCATAAAAAATACATACATATTCACATAAATAGTTACTAGTGTAAATAATACATATGTATATGGCGGTAAGAATTTCCTAAAAAGAAACAATGAAACAGGAATAGTCGTGCGAAAACCCAGGTCAATATCTGCTGGAAGTGCTGGTTTAAATATACTGCTTTGCTTTTTCCTTGGCTAAATAGGTACTTTCAAATTATAATTCACATGAATTATATATCCACTGAGAAACCCCGGTTGGCATCAAACTTTATATTTTTAAATAACTATGCGCGACCCGAAACAACTCGCGGTGATAGAAAAACTGAGACAAACAATTCTGTGCATGTCATAGCAAACACTTTTCTTTCTCTACCTAGCGCAGCGATCGATATGCCATCAGTGTTGCCACTTGAAAATATTTTTAGGTACCAAAACGCCTACCAAATCAGTTTCTAAACTACCAAAAATGTTTCATCATTAAAACAAGATTTCTCGAGTTTGGGGGGCTTTTAGCTACACAAATTAGCAGTAAAAATTAAAACTACACAAAATATTGTTTACAGTATTGGTTAACCATTCACCACCAATCTTTAAGATGAAACAAAAGAAATTCGGGCCTTTAAATAAAAAAATTAACGTATTGTATAAAAAACGTTTGTAAAATGTGAGATTGATTAAATTCATAAAAAAAATTTTTGTATGTGTGCGAAAAAACAAAAGCAGACATTGTATGCATTTCAATCAAAAATCTCATAATTTGATTCAATTTGCATACCCAATTCTCTTTCAATTTCTCTTTCAAGACGATAGGTAACTTCTCGTTAATTTGTACAGCTAATCGGTCATAGCTTTGGGAAGTGAGTTTTTGTTTGCAGAAAATTGTCTGCTTAATAAAATATAGAAAAAATAAAGAAATCTTATACGTGTAAGCAAAGTGAAAGCAGTGTTTTGAACGCGTAAACGCAAATTAAGTGAACAAATTTTAATGTTCAATTTGGTTCTATTTTCAAAACATTTTTGCCTACCAAAATCTTCATCAAACCAACCAAGCTACCAACGGAGAATGAAGCTACCAATTTTGGTCCAATTGGACCAAAACGGCAACGCTGCATGCCATAGCTTACTGAGCGCTCTGTGACCACACGCGTGTTTCACCCATATACGAACAGCGGTAGCGGAGCAATGATTTCCACGCACACATACTACGTTTATACGCACAGAATAATCGACATTTCGCTCTAGTGTCTATACTTACGGCTTTATATAGGCATCAAAGTAACCGACTTCAAAAGCAAACAAAATCAGCAGTTTTCATTTGACATATATATATCATATAAGTTAACATCATGGGAAGTGATAAAAATCTAGTTTTATTCGGCATTATAAAATCGTGGCAAAGAAAAAGAACGATTATTATTAATCAGCTTTTAAATACTGATGCGATTATTTGGAATTTGAGAGGAACAGCTGATCTCCAATTCTTATTCGCTTAGAGTGAGAGCGGTGTTTATACACTCTTTCTAACTGTCTGGAGAATTAAACTACCGATTTGAAATGGAGTTCGAGCCAAAACACTTTGCTCTTTCAAAGCGAATTGAAATTCAGTTTATACATATATTTTGAATCCCGGCGAAATGAATTAAAGCGACTTATGCATGCGTATAAACGTAGTAACAGTCTCATTCATTGAATCGTTTTTATGCAATGGTCGGCATACTAGAACATTCAAACGATTCAATAAGTGGGACTGTGGGCATTGCTCAGCTGGCGCTCTTCGTATGTGAAACAAACATGTGCTCAGAGAGCGCTCAGCATTCTTTAGGGGTGGCTCACAAGCATGAATATGTTCCGCTCTCAAACCAAATCGTGGTTTCCTCAACTAAGATTTGGTAACTCTGACTAAACCATGTGTTGTAAGAAAGCTTATCTGTATTAGCAGAGCTTAATGACATCCTTTTATGAACCATACGTTTAGTTGAATGGAATTTGTAGAAATATGCTTCAAAAAAATATTTATTAGTATTTACCAAACCCTTCAACTAAGTTAACGATTTGGTACAACCTAGATGAATATTAGAAGCTTTAATATATTTAGTTATAATAACCAACCCATGGTAATAGTTCCCAATCCTTGGTAACAGTTCCCAAATATTGTCAAAATTCGGGAACTAAATATCTTTAGTTGTCGAAACTAATTCTTTTTCTCAGTGTAAGTATACGTCAAAGTGTTTCAAACTCGCTGCCTATTGCTAATGGTGTTCCGCAAGGATCAATTATCGGTCTTTTACTGTTCGTGTTGTATATTAATGACCTTCCAACTGTGCTAAATTATAGTAATATCCATGTTTACGCAGACGATGTCCAACTGTATCTTAGTTGTCCCCCTGTGTCTGTCAATACATGTATAACTCACTTAAACAGTGACTTAAATTCTTTAAATAAGTGGACGTCGGACAATGGCTTAGTCCATAATCCAAGCAAATCCCAGTGCGTTTTTATTTATAAGAAACTATAACGACTATAACGAGGTAAAACTGAACAATTCTAGGAATAATTTTCAACAGAACTCTGACGTGGAATAATCACATTTTTAGCTATATTGGTAAAGTATATAGCATTCTTCGGACTTTATGGGACATTCAGTACTTTACACGGTTGAAAATTCGATTGTTACTGGTCAAAACATACTTGCTATCGACGTTATTATATGGTTGTGAACTGTTTGTTGATTGTGAGAGTATTTGTAGTAGGAAACTAACTGTTCTGTACAACAACATTGCGCGATATATTTTTGGCATTGAACGAAATGAGCACATTTCTGAATTCGCGTTGAAAATCTTCTCTATAGCTTTTGATAACATACTCAAAGTCAGGTGTTTAACGTTATTGCATAAAGTCACGACTACTAAAGAGCTCAGTTATCTGAAAGAGCGACTTTCATGGACTAGGTCCTCCCGGTTTCCTACTATTTCATCTTTGAACGTCAGTTCCTTGTCTATACGGTCCGTCTTTGGAACAGTTTACCACCAGCGATAAGAAATAGTAAAACCACGCTGCTATTCAGGAGCGAACTTATGCGTCACTTTGCCAAATGACTGATATGGGTACCTTTAACTCTTATAAACGTATCGATGTCTTATTTATCTCTTTTCTTCTCCAAATCTATAAACATATATATATATATTCTTATCTTCTGCTCCAATAATTTTAATTCCTATATACGTAATTTTGTGTATGTTTAAGACAGAATTTTCTGTTAAGATTAAGTATTCACATGTACTTTAATTTAAAACCTCTGGTTGTTGTGCATGTACTTTAATAAATAAATAAATAAATCCATCTGTATGTAAATACTCTCATTGCTGACAATTTTTATTCACTAATAGTACAATAAAAATAAAGTTGTACTTTTTGGCTTCATTTAAATTACAAAAAAAAATCTCAGTCTACACATAAATTTTGTAAATGTATTGTGATTTCACTTCAATATGAAAATTTTGAGCAGCACCGCAATCGAGCCTCAAAAGTACTACAGGCACTTTTACTACGCATAGAAGAATGGCTGGCAAACTGGTGCATAAAAGTCAACGAACAGAAGTGTAAACATAAAACATTTTCATTGAGACCGCAAGTATGCCCCCAATCAAAATAAATAATGTGCATATTCCACAAGCCAATGAGGTGACATGTCTAGGAATACACTTGGATAGGAGACTAACTTGGCGCAAACACATACCAAGATTACACAAATGTAGCTGAAGTTAGCTGGCGTCAACTGGCTTATATCCAGTAAATCAAAAAAACTAGATTATAAACTACTTATATATAATACAGTCTTTAAGCCTAAATATATGCATGTATGGTATTCAACTGTGGGGCACGACCTGTGCAACCAACATTGACAGGATCCAAAGATTCCAATCTAAAACGCTAAGGGCCTTAACGGGAGCACCGTGGTATGTCCGCAATGAAAATATACATAGGGACCTTGGTATACCGATTTTACACGAACTTGCAGGAAGTTGCAGGAAAAATGTTCCCGTACTCCAAAATCCCCCAAAATCCTGTAAATGAGAGCGACTTTTGGAGAGTTGTGTAAAGAATGAAGTTGCAAGATTTTACCCGAACTTTTTCTTCTGGTAAAATCATGAAAAGTGTCAAGCAATCGCTGGTTGACGTTTTTACAGGAAAAATGGTGTTTTTGTTCCCGTACTTTTTGTTGTTACTCACTTTTTACTCTCACTCCAGAGACTAATTTTGCTATTTGACAGTTTTACAGGATTTTTCACGAAAAGTATTGGATCAGAGCTATTAAATTTGAAGATGGAAGTGTGCGGTTGTTGTGTGTCGCAGTTCTATTCTAGACTCGATTACGGATGCAGCTATACCGAGACGGTAACGACGACAGTGGAGACAACTTATTCGCCGTTGAGGACATTGAGGACGTGGATGTCGAGCAAATACGTGAAGGTTTGACCGAGTTTGGGATTGCGCTGTGGGAAATGGTATGACGACGGTCCATTCTTTGATGAAGGTCCAACGGATATGTGGAGATGGGACCAATGGCAGAAAGAGGAACGGACCGCTGATAAAAATATAAAAAAAAAACACCAACGCTTCATTTTCTCAATTCAATGTATTTCATTAACGACTGACATATTAATTGTTGGATCTCTTAAATGTTAAATGTAAAGTAAAAAATTTAATATATATATTTTTTTAGCATAAAGTAGAAAAAATGAAATAAAGAAAACCCATATTAATTTCGAAGGGCAATTCAGTGTACGATATTTTTTGACAGTCCGTCTTTAGCCAACACAAATAAGCTCGATGGTTTGCCCACTCGAGAACATGCCACGTATAATTGTCCATATGAAAAACATGGTGTGCCCAAATCTAAGCCGCAAACGGACATCGTTTGCCCTTGCCACTTATTGATTGTCATTGCGAATGCCAATCTAATAGGAAATTGAACGCGTGAATTCAACTGGCACGTCTGTGGGAATTATTGGAATACGTGTCAGCAAAACATTTTCGCCTAGGAATTTGCCACTCAAAATGGTGGCTTCGATTATGTTTTTCATACATTTTTTAATGACCAATCGAGTGCCATTGCACAACCGTGGTGGGTTCAAATTCCGAAGTAAAATAACCGGAGATCCAACTTTAAGTAGTAGAAGGTGTGGTGGCATGCCTGGCAAATCCAGTGGGTTCAAAAACTCTGTTGAATAATTTACAGCTTTGTTGGCATCGCAAACTGTATCGATCGATTTGTATGATACCAATTCGCCTGTCAACGACTGCTGTATCTTGAAGTTTAAATCGTCGACGTCCACATTTTTTGCTGCCAAAATGGCTCTTTCTGCTAGCCACGCGTGGTTTATGTATTGTGTGCGTACATCGGGGAATATGCGGTCAATGAGAACATTTTGAGAATCAACGATTGTGCAGAAATCGGTGGGCAATTTTATGCAGCCAGTATTTTCATGGACAGTAACTTTTCCATCGCCGATATCTAATAATTGTTTCGAGAAAGTGTCAACGGATGGATCTTGTAGCATTTGGACGCGAATGTTTATTTTTAGCTGGACTTTTTCAACATTACGCCACAGTGAAGATGATTTGAAGCAAGCGTTGATTTCTACGGCGTACGTTGAAAGTGGAATGACAGGAAGTGTTTGTCTGAAATCACCTGAAAGGAGTCACAGAGCGCCGCCTCTTTGAGTGTTCGGTTCAAAGCCTCAAGAGAATGTTTGTGTGCCACAGTGCATTCATCCAAGATGATAATTTTGCATTGTTTCAGCACTGTGGCCATTGACGATTGTTTTTTTATGTTGCACACTGCGTCTGGGTTATTTTGAATATTCAGAGGTAGCTTAAATGCTGAATGAGCTGTCCTGCCTCCATCCAATAAAGTTGCTGCAATGCCAGATGATGCAACGGCCAATGCGATGCCATTATTTGATCGGTTTGTATGGAAGGTGACACGCCCCCTATTCCCATAACTACAATTTTTCTCCATGAGTATGCAATTCAAAGAATCTGGAGGACCGAAAATACCCACTTACCAGTTAA